AAAAATATTTTAAAAATAAAAATAAAAACAAGGGTGGGAAAGCAGTCAGGGTCTTCCCCGGCCCCCCGTGTCCTGACCGCCGTCTCCCCTCGCAGGCTGCTGGACCACTCCAACGAAGGGTTTTCCAACTGGGAGTTCATGACGGTGCACAGCTGGGGAGAGAAGGCCGAGGGGGAGTGGACGCTGGAGATCCAGGACATGCCGTCGCAGGTCCGCAACCCGGGGAGGCAAGGTCAGAGGCGCGGCGTTCCTCTCCCCGTGCGGCCGCCCCGTCGCGCTCGCGCTTGGCTTTCCCTCCGGGGTCTCTAGCCCTTTCCATTTTTTTTTAAATGAAGGTAAAAATGCACATGACACACACTTTACAATTTGCATCATTTTGTCAAAATATTTTTTTATTGCCCTGGCCGGTGTGGCTCAGTGGATAGAGCGTCGGCCTGCGGAAGGAAGGGTCCCGGGTTCGATTCCAGTCCAGGGCACGGACCTCGGTTGCAGGCTCCTCCCCGGCCCGGGCCCCGGTCACGGTGCAAGCAGGAGGCAGCCCATCGATGTGTCTCTCTCAGATCCATGTTTCTCTCTGTCTTTCCCTCTTGCTTCCACTCTCCCTAAAAGATCAATGAAAAAATATCCTCAGGTGAGGGTTAAAAGAATAAATACGTCCATTTAAAAAGTTTAAAAAAGATAAATATATGTTTTTACTGATTTCAGAGAGGAAGGGAGAGGGAGAGAGAGAGAAATAGAAACATCCATGATGAGAGAGGAGCCATTTTTATCCCTTCCGCCTGATCCTCGGCGGTAAACTCGCTAACTCGGGTTCACGGCACCTCGGCGGGGAGGAGCGCCCGCCGGGGCGTAAGCCTGAAACAGATTCCTTGATTTTTTTTCTGGGCCTTTCTCTCCCTCTCCCTTCCTCTCTCACAAATGGAAGGCACAGCCCGGCGGGTGTGGCTCAGTGGTTGAGCGTCAACCAAGGAACCAGGAGGTCCCGGGTTCGAGTCCCGCTCAGGGCACACGCCCGGGTTGCGGGCTCGATGCCCAGTAGCGGGCGTGCAGGAGGCAGCCGGTCCATGGTTCTCTCTCCTCACGGATGTTTCTCTCTGTCCCTCTCTCTCCCTCTCCCATCGTCTCTGAAATCAGTAATAAACATACCTTTAAAACCACCCTTTGGGAGGCTGTATCCTAAGAAGTATTAGCTCAGGAGGTGGGTTTTTTTCAGAACTCACAGACCTATGCCCTCCACGGCCGGCCCAGCGGGAGAGGGTGCTGTGGGAGGGCTCCTGACGCGGGGGCTGGGTGCCTTGCAGGGAAACTGAAGGAGTGGAGCCTCGTCCTGTACGGCACGGCCGAGCACCCCTACCACACCTTCAGCTCGCACCAGGCCCGCGCCCGCATGCTGGAGCTGTCCACGCCCGCGCTGGAGCCGCCCAAGGCCGCCCGGCCGCCCGCCCCGGCCGAGGGCCCGGAGGAGGAGGAGGACTACACAGGTAACGCGCCTGAATCCAGGACACGGCCTGCCTCTTGCGAGGACTGGCTTTCCCCTGGTTTTTCTCGGTTTTGTGAATCCTCCCCTGAGGATATCTTCCCATTGACTTTTAGGGAGAGTGAGAGAGAAACATCGACGTGAGAGAGACACATCCAGGGGTTGCCTCCTGCACGCGCCCCGACCAGGGCCCGGGCCGGGGAGGAGCCTGCAACCGAGGTACGTGCCCTTGACCGGAATCGAACCCGGGACCCTTTGGTCCGCAGGCCGCTGCTCTGTCCACTGAGCCACACCGGATGGGGCTGGTTTTCCACTCAGAAATCGTGGGGCTGGCCCGGCCGGTGTGGCTCAGTGGTTGAGCATCAACTCATGAACCAGGAGGTCAGGGTTCGATTCCCGGTCAGGGGTACATGCCCGGGTTGCAGGCTCGATCCCCTGTAGAGGGCGTGCAGGAGGCGGCCGATCCATGGTTCTCTCTCATCATTGATGTTTCTCTCTCCCTCTCCCTTCCTCTCTGAAATCAATTTTAAAAATATATTTTTTAAAAAAATCGTGGGGCTCCTCCCGGCTGACAGGGGGGTCAGGACGGGGGCTGTTCCGCGTCCGGGAGCCGCAGTAACGCTGCTGATTTGCACTCACACAGCTCGGTCCTCCCAGGGCCCTCCTAGCGTTTCTCAGACCAGTAAGTATGCGTCCAGCTCGTAAGTATGTCCCCTCGCCCCAGGCCGGGGAATCAAGGGTCCTCGCTATGCCCAACCAGAACCGGACCCGCCCCGTGGTGCAGGGGCCTCCGCCCGGGCACCCATCTCACGGCCCAACCGTCTCAAACCCACCCACCCTCCGACCCCGTGGCCAGAACGTGGCCAGGACCCGGGTCCTCGGGGGCCCCAGGCGGGGGCGGGCCAGAGGGGGGGCAGGGAGGGAGGAGGAGGAGAACGGCACTCAGCGACCTGCCGAAAGAACCGAAACTGGAGTCCAAGCCAAGAAAACGGATGGGCGGCGCCCCAGACATTACGAATGACGTCATTGGAGGGATGCTTGCCGAAGACAGTAAATAGAATTTGGTAGAGACAGACGAAAGAGAAGAGAAGAGAGAAAAAGAGAAACGATGAAGA